ACAACGATACTGTTTGATTTAAATAATGAAATCCCTTTGACAATCGAACTTCAATCGACAGCATTGGTTATAGCAAGGTGGCCATTCTTTGTTTTCCTAGGTGGTTCGATGTTCTGCCTCTTCTCTAGCAGCATGTGCCACCTCTTCTGTTGCCACTCACACAACTTGAACACGTTCCTGTGGCGACTGGACTATGTAGGAATAGTTGTGATGATCATCACCTCCTTTTTTCCTCAAATTTACTACGTTTTCCTCTGTGAGCCTCACTGGCAAATCATGTATCTTGCTGGGATCACAGCCATGGGAGTGTTCACCATCGCAACAATGCTCTCTCCAACACTTTCCACCAGCAAATACCGTTCATTTCGTGCCATGTTGTTCTGCTCAATGGGACTTTTCGGCATTGTGCCTGCAATCCATGCATGTTTTGTGAATTGGACCAATCCCAGACGCAATATTACCTTAGCATATGAAATTGCCATGGCATTATCTTACTTGACAGGGACCTTATTCTATGTGACAAGAATACCCGAAAGGTGGAAGCCAGGGTGGTTCGATTTGGCAGGTCACAGCCACCAAATTTTTCATGCTCTTGTGGTGGTCGGAGCATTGTCACATTATGCAGCCACTCTTCAAATGCTGGAGTGGCGTGACTCTTTTGGGTGCGACACGCTTTCATGATTATATCGTCTTAATCTTAATCTTTCATAACAGATACATATGCAGCATTATATGGATTCCCTGGTGTATTAATTGTATAAGGGGCGCAAGCATTTGTGTAGTGATAAGGAGCATTGTTTCATTGTTAGGTTCGTTTCAAGTCTCTCATTGTTACAACGAGTCCCCAAGAGACAGGGATTTTAGAAATTATTCTTCAGAATATATTTGATTCGCTCCCTTTTCTTTTTTAATTTTTTGTTCAATATCTTTAAGGTTGTATCTAGAAAATCTATATAACAGGCTTCTTCCTTTTCTTTATTAATTGTTATATGTGGCTGTTAAGACTAATATTGCAACTTCTGACTGAAACAGTCAAATTACAGTGCCAAACTCGTCTATAATAATGTTTAAAAGTGCTTTGTATCAATAGTGGTTGGCTTAACAGGCGAGGCTCAAAAGTCAAACGAACCAAATCTTGTCTGCAACTTTTTGTTGGGAAAAGAAACATACTGGCTCAAGCTATCCAGGGTTCGTTGACTTACTCAAAAACAAAAGTGATAACAGAAATATAGAAAATAAAAAATAACTGTATTGACGTGTTTTTATAATAATAACAACAGCAAACAATAAGAAAAAAACCAAACTTTCTGTTTAACGTTAGAATAAGTATAAAATACTGTAATTTTTTCTGTTCAAATATTTCTATGGTGATAAATAACGGTGTTTAAATACTTGTATTTGTTCTTTAATGGTATATGTCAGAGAGCTTTTATTTGACAGCAGTGTTCTTGGGAGGTTTCAGGTTCATAATTACATAAAATAATATAAAAAAAGTAGTTCTTAATGGAAGAATGCATGGCTATGATGTTTTGGAGTGGACTTTAATTTCTTGAACTGCAATCCTCACGTAGCAATAACTGTGATTTTATGGAGATTTGAACTTGTGTAGTATTTTCAAGCTTTTTAAGAAGGTTCACTGTTCACCTTTATTTAATTATTCTTTTCGAGAAAGGAGAACATTCTGCACCTACCTACTTATTAGCCACGTATTAATTACTGGACTAGTTTCTGCTATGACTTCACTTCATTTTTCACCATTATTTTAACATTATAAAATTTACCACTTTACTTTTTTATTAATGACATTTTAGCGTTTTATCGCATTATTAACCATCCAACAATGAATTGATAAAGAAAAAAAAAAAAAAGGTTAGCAAAAGAACACAGAAAAAGCAGCGGAACAGAGCAAACCTTTATTTATCTATCATCACAGAATGCATGGTCATGATACGCGGTGACTAACAACACATCACAAAACAGCCACGCGGCAAACTTCCATGGATGAGAAAAGAAGAAACGTACAGATAGAAGAAACCAGAAACACACAAGTAAGAAAAAAAAAACAATAATATTTTAACAATTTTTTTTAACAAATTTTTATAACAAATTATTGGTCTATATACAAGTTATCACATAAATTAATGTAAAAAAGTTATTAAAAAAACATTTTCCAAAATATAATATCGCTTTTTTTTTTTTACAACTTTAAAATCCATAGAGAATCTGTGAACAATAATAGATACATCTATCACTATATCACAAAATTACACAAAAGGTGTAAGTTTTAAAGAAATTATAAAAGAAAAATGAGTAATTTGTACAAATTTGATTCGACTGAAAATGTTATGATACTTTGACACCACTATCACTCATTATAGAATTTGCTTCACCTTAACACAACTTTAATTAAAATAAAAAATATATATAATGTAATGAAAATATATCAAATTGACAAAACTTTAATTAAAATTTTTAAAAAATTATAAAATTTATTAAGGTTGTCTTAAACTAACACACTTCACTTTAATAAGTCAAAAATTGTACCAAACTGATATAATTTCTTCACAATGAAATTATACTAAACTAATTTTTTTGTAATTTTTTAAAATTTACACCATTTTCATAATTTTGAAAAAGCTAAATTACATCATTTGGATGCTTTTTTTTCCACATTAATTTACTTTCATTATTAAAAAATTGACAAAATTGGGATGATAAAGATTTGGATAAAATACGTGTATGTTTATATGCTACTTCGTCCTAAAAAATCTTATTTGCTTATTATTTTATATCTAAGAAAACTTATGGATACTTGTTGATATTTTTATATATTTTTTTATAAATTTTAAGTAAAATTAACGAAAAAATCTTTAAAATATAAATTTAGATAATAAATTATTTTTTATGGACAATTTAAATCAAAACAATTAATAAAATATTAATGTAAAAAAATTGATTTTTTTAAGAATTATTTTTTGCATAATAACTTGAATTTAAGTTTATGTTTAAATAAATAAATAAATATATAGTCAAAATTTAAAAGATTCTTTAATGATTAATATTCTTTTGTTAATAATTTAATTCTGATCACTTAAATTTTAAAAATAAAAACTTAAATAAAATTTACTAATAATAATAGTGAATAGTGTCTAGGTTTATATCATGTACTCACTACTCACTTTACCAGCAAACAAGTTTTTCGGAGACAAATTTACATTTAATCTATAGTTTTTAAAAGTAAAGTTGTGTTTAAAATTTATTTTTATAGGAATTATATTTAGAAGTAAAATTTTAATTTATCTAATATTTCTTTTAAAATTGTGCTTCTAAATAGGAAAGACAACTGGTTGGATATAGATAGTGCCTACACGCATCCCAACCCGCAAAGTAAAATCCGACCCGCAACTTGTCCATTACCTATGTCGGTACCTGCTTAGAAAATACCTACAGGTATTTCAAAACCCACATATATCTGTAAAAAAAATATTTTATACAATTTTAAAATAAAATTATAAAATATATATATACTATAAATTAAATTAAATTAGATATAAATTAAAATTTAATTTTAATTAAATTTAACCTAATAAAATATAATTTTATTTTATTTTTAATTAAATTTAATTAAAAATATATAAAAATTTATTTATTATTATTATTTTTTGTGAGTAGTGGGTACTAGCAGGTCGGATAGTATACTACCTATATCCGACCCGTTTAGAAGCGGTATTAAAATATTTACTATCCATTATTCATGGATAGCAAATATCTGCGAATAGTAACTATCCGTCGCAGATTTTACTTGCGGATACGTGTATCTATAGATTTTGTTATCATCTCTACTTCTAAACATATTTTAGAAGTAAATTACAAATTTCATTTTCTATCACTTTTCACGAGAATTTCGATGAAGTTCAATAATTATTAAAATTTCTAAACAATGATGAAGTTAACTAATAGATGAAATTGCATGAGAATATGCCTCATCATTAGATGTATCATTAGTGGGGACGATAATGTTGACGAAAATGAAACTAATATTGTTCTAGACTTTCAATGCATTGAATATTAAATTTGTCCAATTACATTGCCCGTGTAATAGGACTGTGGTGAGAATGACACCAGGGTAACTAGATGGATGAAGAAAAAAGGATTTTGGATTTGTAATTCTGAGACACAAATGTGCGGAAGACATGATAAAAAAATTGACATGATTGTCTGATACCTTAAACGAAGTTTGAAACTTATTATTCACATATCACATATCGGTCATGGTATAGATCTTCGAAATAAGGATAATACATAAAACAACATCCTTAAAAATACAAATACTAAAATACAAAAACAACGTTTATAAAAATAATTGATATGCTCAATCAAATTATTGGTTTCATTTATGAGCGATTAATTAACTTTCTCCTAAATACAGTCACACATGAAGAGTTAAATTATATTTTTAAAGCAATACTCTTGTTAGTTTTTACAATCCACCCTGATCTTTGGGATAATAGTTACTAGACAAAATTCCCTCTGAAGTAACAATCTCAAAGCTGAGGTTTTAAACCAAAGTGCTCAGTTCTGACTTCATTATGGTCATTCCAATAAACCTAAGATTTTCTGTTTATCCATGGATTATCTGCGTTTTCTTTACTTTCGGCGAGAGTGAACATTGATTGACGTACACTTGGAATTTACATGCTTGAGCTCAAAATTTTGTCATCTCAGGCAAGTTGTCATTTCTTTGCACTGAAATAAATGCTATGGTGATCAACGTGCCAGTTTCTGAATACAAAGCCCTTCTTTTAAGGTCTACTCCACATGCCTTCAACCACAAACTAAACGCCCGATAATGCTTAAAACTTCGTGAAAAGATCATACAATAACTTAGGTCTGCTACTTCTTAGACATGTTCACATGACTTGAGATTACTATGTTGAAAATTGTTGATTATATAGCTACGGTTACATTTGATGAAGGCAAATGTTCATTCAATCCATGAACTACCATGGTGCCCCTTAGATGCTCCCCACCCTCTCTGTTATTCCCATTGTTTCTCCCCATTCTCCTCTTCATTTTCTTCACTCATCTAAAGGGAAATCACCTTTCCATCGATTTTCCATATTCCTCCCTTTCCACCATCAAAGCCATCACAACACAAGTACAATCCCATCTTCAGTTTCTAGCCAACTCTGCAAATAGAAGCCTTGGCCATAGCACTAAGGTGTGCAAAATTTAACCACAAAGTTTTAGAGTCAAACTTCCTAACACACACACTGAAACACATATATGTGTGTGTGTGTATATATATATATATATATATATATATAATACACGACCCTGTTATCAGCACCTACTTATCTAAAGAAAGAAAACTTTTTTTTGTCGTTTTTTGCAGAAAAGGACTAGCTTTGATATAATTGAAGAAGGTTTAGCAAAGGCTCGAGCCTCTATCCAGGAAGCAATTCTCTCTAGGAAACACAACAATTCAGGAAAGCAAGAAGACTTTATACCAAAAGGGTCCATTTATAGAAACCCTCATGCTTTTCACCGGTTAAGTTCGAAATATTCCGAAATATCTTCACCATCTTTACCTGTAATCAAGGTTTTAAATTGTGGCCACAATTGTGATAAAAAATCCTTTAAAACCTTGCTTATAATAGCATACTCTATCTAGGGTACACACATGCACACAAAAAATAGGAACATTGCTGTTACTAACAAGTGATGTTTTTGAATAAAATGAAAAGCAGGAGCCACAAGGAGATGGTGAAGAGATTCAAAGTGTGGGTGTACGAGGAAGGAGAACAACCATTAGTGCATTATGGGCCAGTGAATGATATATACGCCATTGAGGGTCAGTTCATTGATGAATTGGACAACAGCAAGAGGAGTCCCTTCAAGGCTAGGACCCCTGATGTGGCACACGCCTTTTTCCTACCCTTTAGCGTGGTTAATGTGGTTCATTATGTTTATAAACCTTACATGTCCCTAAATGATTATCGCCGTGACCGCTTACAACGGTTGGTGGAGGATTACATTGGCGTGGTGGCAGAAAAGTATCCTTATTGGAACAGAAGCAGTGGTGCAGATCATTTTCTCCTCTCCTGTCACGATTGGGTACTCGTCTTAAAATTGTTCTTGTTATTTCATATATGTCACATGCCTTGTAACTTGAGTATTTTGCGATTGATAATTTTTCATAATTCTGCATGCATGTGATCCTTTTTTGGGGGCTTTGACCGAAAAGAAGTACCTTTATACTTTTATAATCATAAAATGTGTTTTTACTTTACTTGATGATTCAGGCACCAGAAATATCACATGCAAATCCTAAGCTCTTCAAGAACTTCATCAGAGTTTTATGCAATGCCAACACATCAGAAGGATTCCAGCCCAAGAGGGACGTGGCTATCCCTGAAGTGTACTTGCCTGTTGGAAAGCTGGGACCACCAAATTTGGGCCAGCACCCCATGAAGCGCACCATATTAGCATTTTTTTCTGGTGGAGCTCATGGTTACATCAGGAAGTTGCTTCTGAAGCACTGGAAGGACAAAGATAGCCAAGTTCAAGTTCATGAGTACCTTCAATGTGGCCAAAACTATACTGAGTTAATGGGACTGAGCAAGTTCTGCTTGTGCCCCAGTGGGTATGAAGTGGCTAGTCCTAGAATTGTAGAAGCAATTAATGCAGGCTGTGTTCCTGTGATCATTTCTGAGAACTATGCTTTGCCCTTCGGTGATGTGCTTAACTGGAATCGGTTTTCCGTACAAATCCCAGTTAAGAATATACCAAAGATCAAGACTATATTACAAAATGTATCGGAAGGGAAGTACATGAAATTGCACAGAAATGTGAGAAGAGTTCGGAGACACTTCGTGATGAATAGACCAGCTAAGCCATTTGATTTGATGCACATGATACTTCACTCAATTTGGCTTAGAAGACTTAATTTCAGGCTCACGGCTTCACAATAAGGAATGTTTCTTCATACATTCTTGATTTTCCAATCTTAAGCCCCTTTGGATAGAACTCGTAAGAGGTTATATAAACTATCTTTGGTTAAGTTGAGTCACTATTTCTGGTTTATCTGAGCTGTGTATGTTCTAAGCTAAAGGGAGATGTAGTTGTTCAAGATTTCCATTGTGACTAGGTCTTGTGAACATTACAGATTCAGTTTAAATCGGCATTTTAGATAGACAAATGGTGATTGAGTTGATAATTGTATGTTAAATCATGGCCCAAAGTTGCAATGTCAAGAAATAGTAATGCTCTTATCGTACCTCAGTTTTGATGAATTCAATTCTTATCCAAATAGTATGATGAGGACCCCCTTGGTACAGATTTTTCCGTGTAGATGTAAAATATTCTGATTACTCTTCACAACATTATGAACTTGCACCACTGTTCTGTTCTGCTTCCCCTGTTTAGTTGTGCATAGCTATTACTAATTTGAGTAAGAAATGAAGCGTTAAATGTATTTTTTTTTTGTATTTTTAAGACACTTTAATTTTCATTTTATAATATTTCTGTGCATTAAACACGGCTGCTCAGGCCAGAATTTATAATTTCAATAGTCCAAAAAGAAACGTAAGAACTCGACTTTACACGTCTTGAACGGAACATCTTTGTATTGTAGGTGGGTCATAGGTGATGGCAGCATTTATTGGTTACATTGTTGGCTAGCTATAAAGTTAAAAGTTAGATGAGAGCACCTCCCAGAGAATCTATTTTTAAAAAGAAGTAATTGAGACGGAGTGAGTTACTTAGTTAAAATCGTTACTTGTGTAGAAGAAAAGAATTACTACTTTTCAAGCATTTTTTCTATATCAAAAAATAAAACCCTTACTCGTTTGAAGTGTTTCTTCTTTGGATGGATGCTGTAATAGAGATACTTTAGAAAAGTTACTAAAGAATTTGTCATCAGTGAAAAAGAAGTATCGGGTTGCTCTGATATAAGTGGTTAAATCATCAATTATTGATGATCAATCTTATAAATGGTTGGTGAGAGAGAGGTTTTCCGGAGCAGATTTCCAAAGCTCTGAAAGAATTGATGAAAGTTTTCAAATCACCACTGTCTTCTTTAGTCTTTCTATTGTTTTTCCTCAATTTTTTACTAATTTTTTTCACTCCCTCCCATGATTATCAAGCTGTTCATGTCCACTCAGATTCTCCTTTCAGTCTTTCTAGTATCAGAGGCAGTACTTCTCCCCAAGAACTTCTATCCACCCCCAATGAAGCCTACAACAATACAGATCTTACACGGATCAAGGTATTCAACCTTCACGATCTTTTGAAATGTTGTTCTAATTGTTCATAGATTGATACCCCTTTGTCTTTAACTTTCAGTTTGGCCATGGCATGAAGAAGAATGTGACAAGTTTGGAGAGAATTGAAGAAGGTTTAGCTCGTTCGCGAGCATTTATCCAGAAAGCAATTCGGTACAAGAACCACACTTCCCTCCTCAAAGAAAATTTTGTCCCAAAAGCTTCCATTTACCGAAATCCACAAGCTTTCCACCAGTTAAGCATGACCCATTCTGAATCTGTCTTTTTTTGGTTTGATATCAAAAGTAACTCTTTTTTCAGAAGTAACTGTTCTACAATTTTTGTCACTGTAGTTCGTATTGTGCATAAATGTATTACAGAATTGTCTTTTTGCACAGATTAGATCATATCTTTCTTCTGTCTTTCTGCAACCCTCAAATTTGGGGTTAGGGTTTTATCAAGGATTTCAAATCATAAAATAATGCATACTTGAAGAATGTAATTCTTGAAGAAATTTGTTACTGTTTCAAGAAAAGGATCATAAATTGCTTAAATATATTTTTAGTTTCATTTTTGACATAAATTAGAATTCGTTCCTTTTTTTTTTTATGTGTCAATTCATATTACTATTTGGCACAGTTTGATTTCAATATTTGTTGAAAAATATTTAATATGTAAAATAATTAATACAATTAAATTAAAATAACAATATCATTTATTTAAAGTAAAAATTTGATATATAAAATAATTAACACAATTAGATTAAAAATAACTACGTTTATTTAAAATTTATTACAGAAACATATTTTAAATTTAATATGAAAAAAAACATTTAATATTTATTTTCGTTTTAGCCTAAATAATGAAGAGGTTCCGTGGGCTTAACTTAACCTTGTCTACAACGTGAAAAGAACAGGAGCCACGTGGAGATGATGAAGAGATTGAAGGTTTGGGTGTACGAGGAAGGAGAGCAGCCATTGGTGCATGATGGGCCTGTAAACAACAAATATTCCATTGAAGGCCAATTCATCGATGAAATGGACATGGCTAAGAAGAGCCCCTTCAAGGCCCATGATCCAGAACAGGCCCAACTCTTCTTACTTCCCTTCAGCGTATCCAAGGTCATTCGCTATGTTTACAAGCCCAGAAGGTCCAGATCCGACTATGATCCTCCACGCTTACAACGGTTGGTGGAGGATTACATCACCGTGGTTGCAAATAAATATCCTTATTGGAACAGAAGCAAAGGTGCAGACCATTTTTTTGTTTCATGCCATGATTGGGTGGGTACACATCACATACATAGCCTGTTTTTTTACGTTAAACATCTTAGGTTGATGTTTTTATAAGGTAAAAGTGAAATTTTGATTAAAAAATATAGTACCCAATTGCTTGTGATGATTCAGGGTCCAAAAGTGTCGTACGCGAATCCTGAACTCTTCAAATACTTCATCAGAGTACTTTGCAATGCGAACAGTTCGGAAGGGTTTCAACCGAACAGAGATGTCTCCATTCCGGAAGTGTATTTACCTGTTGGAAAGCTTGGTCCACCTAATATGGGGCAGCACCTGAGTAATCGTCCAATATTAGCCTTTTTTGCCGGTGGTGCCCATGGTAAGATTCGAAAAACACTGCTAAAGCGATGGAAGAACAAGGATAGAGAAGTTGAAGTTCACGAGTACCTTGAAAAGGGTGAAGATTATACCAAGTTGATGGGTCTGAGCAAGTTTTGCCTGTGCCCCAGTGGGCATGAAGTGGCAAGTCCTAGGGTGGTGGAAGCCATCTATGCAGGGTGTGTCCCTGTAATAATCTCTGATAATTACTCTTTACCTTTCAGTGATGTGCTTGATTGGAGTGAGTTCTCGTTAGAAATTGCAGTTGAGAGAATAGCAGAGATTAAGATTATTTTAGAAAATGTTTCGATAGATAAATATAGAAAGTTGTATTACAATGTGAGGAGCGTTGGAAGGCATTTTGTGATAAACAGGCCTGCAAAGCCCTTTGATTTGATACATATGATACTCCACTCACTTTGGCTCAGAAGGCTAAATTTCCAACTAACACCTTCATAATAAGATGAGATTCTCTTCTATTCCATTCCCATAACTACAAATGTCAGTTTTCTACTAATGTGAGCACTTTGTTCTTTCATATGTCACTACTCTCACAACATTTTTTTTGACATTATTTACGTATTATTCTGTAATTGGTCCAAAATTACAATCAATAATAATAATCATAAACACTAACATAGACTAATCACGTAATGACACGTAAATGATATTAAAATATTATCAAGAAAATATTGTCAAAGTAGCATTATTCTTCTGTAAGAGTCCATATATAAAGGTTGAGTTTAACAATTATTTTCAAAGACCAAAAGTATGGTATGCCAATGCATACTTGAGTTCTGAGTTTTTTTATAGAGAAATCATAAGAAAGAATACATAAGTTAAAAGTTAGGCTGAGTAACATAAGCATCTTTGAAAGGGTGAAAAGTAGACATAAGCATCTTTTAATGGAATGAGCACAAAGTACAGAAAGTAAATGGGACAAAAGAAGTTTTGTTTGCGCTGAAGTGGGCACCAAGTTGCCGTCATAATTTGTGATAATAATTCTCTGCCATTTTGTGATGTGCTCCATTGATGATAACCTTAAAGATCAGTCACTTTAAGGTTCACACATTACATGAATTATGAGTGATTTTTTTTAATTGTGATAAATTCATAATATAAAAGAATGTCTCTGTTCTTCGATTGTATATAATGAAGCTTGAGTGTATTCCGTATTAAAAATAATTTAAACGCATGAATTCTTTTATAAAATTAAAATTATTTAACCATATTCTTATACATCACTCACATGAGTATTTTAAAGTTTATATAAAATAACTGGAAAGCTTGTTATGTATTCTACTGCCTCGTATTTTATCTATAAATTTATATATTAAATATATGAAGTAAAGGAAAATTATTAATATTTTACACTAACAATACATAAAAATCGATGTAATTAATCATGATCGAAATTTTATTACTTATATCTACTCATATTTAGTCTAAGGTAGTTAGAGTGAATATGAAAATATTTTTTCAGTTTTTTCAAAAATATAAACTTTTATTTATGTTGAATTTATGATAACTATTTATCTTTTGTAGATATTTTGAAAGAGGATTTTTGAAGACTTTAGTAGAAAAGTGATTATACTTTAGTTTGTTATAATTTTTTTAAATTAATTAAAGGTTTTTTAAAGTTTTAGAAGACGACAATGGTAGTGTTTATATTGTTTTAAACATATAAAGTTTCAAATTTTTCGTGTTTTTGTGATAAAGTTATTGTGCTAAGTTAGTTAATTTAATTTTTATTAATAAATAATATTTTTGTTGTAAAACAAATAAAATTAACATTATAAATGATTTAATGTTTTAGTCTTATGTATTTATTTATATTATTTTTATAATAGGGATAATTTTTTTTTGTGTGTTTGTATTATATATTTCTTTAATATATTTTTATATAATAACGAAGGTTAAAACTCGTATGTAGTGATACGCCGCATGAGTTTTATGATGCATAATCGACTAATTAGAAACAATGAATCAAATAAAAGAATATTGGTAATTTTCTTTCATTTCCAAAGAAATACTGATGCTATTAAAACTGTACGGTAATACTGTTATTTTGTTGTTCGATTGAAAAGGATAGGTGATCCATGGCTAAGATAAGGATAATAACTCTGGCTGTGACGGACCGTGACAGTAATTATGGGCCACAATGATGAAGTTCGGCCCAATAATGACTCACAAATAACATATTAATTAATGTCTAAAATTGCAAATACCTTATTTGTAAAATATTTATAAAATATATAGTTTTATTTTATGATGTAAGTATTTATGATTGTAACGAATAGTTTACAAGTTTTAAAAAAAAATTGTAAAATAAAATAAGTTAGAAAAAAAACTCTAATTTAAATCAAATTGGATTAATTTTGATTTGATTCATTTAAAATTTATGTATGTGGATCTGATACGTTAATGAATATTTTATTTTTAAAATATTAATTATATTTAAAAAAAATTAAAAGTGATATTGTTTTATTAAATTATAAAAAGATATCAAAAAACTTTATCTAAAAGCAAGTAGTTTCATTAAATTAATATTGATTTGAATTTGGTATTTTCGTGAGTGTGATGTCACTTTCGGAATTGTGATGATAACATTGTCCATTGTCAGCTAAGCCAATAGGCAAAGTGACTCTGTTCTGTTCCTCACGATAAGGCGATGGAACATGCAACCTTTGAAATCTGAGAAATAATAGCGAGTGAGAGCAAAATCATTACAGACTGTACTGTTGTTCGCAAGTGGAAGCAACACTTATTAAATTTCATCAATATATGCTCGCAAGTGAATAGACTAATGCAGAATAATTTATGTTTCATTTCTATTTGACTTTTATTACATAAACACGTTATTAAAATGGTGAAGCAATAAATATGATTAATTTTATACAAGAGGAAAATAAATGAAATATGATATATATATTTTATAGTTTGGATTCCGTGTTCATGAGAGTGACCTTTCTTATATGTGATTTCTGAAGTTGGACCATCTTTTACCTCAACATGTTCGTTGCAACCTGCAATTCCAATCATGTTCAAACTTTGATATGAAGGTTGACAAAATCAGTCTGAGAAAGCTGGCTCGAATTAAACTACCGGTGCTTGCTTTGATTTATTAATAATTATATTGAAAATAAATAAACCATCATTTTAAGGGATCTAAAAATGGTGTCCCCTTATTCGTGTACCTTTGTGCCCTTCTATGCTCTCATTTCTCGCTCCCACGCATTTGATTCGGATTCGTCTGCACAATAAAGCTAGCTAGCATCCCCAGGCTTTATGGTACCAAGGGAAGTTTCTACAGCCCACATCGTCCAATTAATCTTTTAATTTATGCAAATGAAAAACTTTAATTTATATTATATGATAAAAGACCATTCATAAAGTAAAAATTAAAAGTTTTTAATATTTTTATAAACCATTAAAGCTTGACACGAGGAAAACATGAAGTTTAACTGTTTCGAAAGAGGCACCTCCACCCATTTATTTATAATCCATCGCACGGACAACCTATGTGAACAGTACTTTCTCCTTAGGTTATGCTGCCAAACCGAGACAACTAAAACGTATAAATTCAGTTTACGTCTGTTAGGATGTGTTTGGCAAGGTGAAAAATTAAGCTTTGGATTCTTGAGAAAGTCACCGACCTTATTATGCAGTAAAAATATCTTTCACGTGCCGAATACAAACTTAAAACGAATGAAATGACTGACCGTTTTCCATTTATTGCAGAAGGACAAAAGTGTGTTTCATTGCATCAATTTTACATTTATGCTTATAATAATTGAACAGTATTTGATATAAATAAGTGGTGTGCATAACAAGGCAAAGGGTGTGTGTGAGTGAAGTTGCTAACGCAATGGAATGGTTGAGATGCCCCATTTCTGCATTCTTATTCCCCGTCTTTTGCTTTGTTGCCTTCTTCCTCTTCTTTCCCTTCAAGCTACAAAATAATGTCACCCACTTTCTCTTTTCTCCTCCTTTGCTTCCTTCCACTGTCAAACACCTACAAAACCACACAAATATTATCTCTTCTTCTTCTTATCCTTCTCCTTCACCCTCTCCTTCGCCTTCTCCCTCACCTTCATCGCTTTATCTTCTTTCCAACTTCACACCTGCAAATCAAACCACCAATAACAGCACTGTGTTAAGCAGCTCTACTAAGGTAAGCAACCTTAAACGTATATATAGAACATGTTTTTTTTTTTATCTTTTTGCTTTTGTTTCGTATATGTTACCGTATATATATTGTCTACCCTTTTATTAATTTTGTGTTTCGTTTATGATAGAAATTTGCTGGTTTGGAGAAAATAGAAGAAGGATTGGCACGAGCTCGAGCCGCAATTCAGGAATCTATCCGCTCAAGGAACTATACTTCAGACACCAGACAAACTTTTGTTCCTAAAGGATCTATTTACTGGAATCCACACGCTTTTTATCAGTTAAGCTCTGAATTCTCAAGCTCATCAACTAGTTAGATACACACCACCTATTTCAAACTTCTTTTTTAAGAAAATTAAGTGTATTGAATAAAATTTATTATATCTGTGATTTTTTTCTTTTTGTTGTGTGAATTTTACTTGTAATTGGTAATCGATTTTATAATCCATGCTAAAATTATATTGAAAAATAGAGGATTTTTGTTATATCGTTCTATATGTTGTTATCTGGGTAGAGCACACATTTTTTGTGGTTTTAATTATGTTCACATATTGGTTGAAGTTGACATTTTTTTTGTCTGTATTTGGTCTTCAAATTATATAATTATTGTTGAATTATTTATGCGTGTCAATTCCTTTAACCACTTTTTTAAGTATGGTTGACTTAATGTTAAGAAAACAAAACTATGCTATCAAGTACAATAAATTTCATAATATTACATGAATATCCCAAATATTAAAATGTAATTTATAATGCATGACTAGATTCAAAGTAGGAAACTCCACATAATTCCGTACAAGAAATATGTTTAATTTAGCTCTGGATAAAAGTAATAATTTATGGAAAAAATATATAAGTTAACAAAATAATTATCTTTAAATCATTTCATAATTAATACCGGCATTAAAATCCTTTCTCATTACCGATATCATGTAAATTTTATCATAATAGATATACGGAAGTTCATATATTAAAAGCCATGCATTAATGACACCGTGTGGATCTAAGCTTTGTTTTACGGAACGTCTCGATCAAAAAGGTTTTGAAGTGCGGTCGAAGAAGAAACCGCTACGCAGTTGCAGTGCGTTTCCCCAGAAATTAATTTCTAAAACACAACGTGATTGATGCAGGAGCCACACGGAGATGGTGAAGAGATTCAAAGTGTGGGTGTACGAGGAAGGAGAACAGCCATTGGTGCACGATGGACCAGTAAATGATATATACGCCATTGAAGGGCAATTTATGGATGAAATAGACAATTATGATAAGTGGAGCCATTTCAGGACAAGAAATCCTGAGGAAGCTCACGTTTTTTACATTCCTTTCAGCATAGCTAATATTGTTCACTATGTCTACAAGCCTATCATGAAGCATTCAGATTACGAACCTATTCGCCTGCAGCGGTTGGTGGAAGATTATATCGGTGTCGTTGCAGATAAGTATCCTTATTGGAATAGAAGTGAAGGTGCTGACCATTTTTTACTGTCATGTCATGATTGGGTAAGATCTTATTTTTTGTTTATAAAAAATCAGAATCATTATAGTAAAACAAGTATATAATTATGTGTGTTTGATGACTTAGGGTCCGAAAGTGTCATTCGGGAAGCCTAAATTGTTCAAGAGTTTCATCAGGGTACTTTGCAATGCCAACACCTCAGAAGGATTCATACCTAACAAAGATGTGTCAATCCCAGAAGTGAAATTGCCAAAGGGAAAGCTAGGTTCACCCAATCTAGGGCAACGCCCAGACGATCGCAGCATTTTAGCTTTTTTTGCCGGAAAAGAACATGGTAACATTCGAACAATCTTGCTGAATTATTGGAAGGGAAAAGATAATGAAGTCCAAGTTTATGAATCTCTTCCAAAGGGCGTAGACTACTTTAAATTAATGGGAGAAAGCAAGTTTTGCTTGTGTCCCAGTGGTTTTGAAGTAGCAAGTCCTAGAGTGGTGGAAGCACTTACTGCGGGGTGTGTGCCTGTGTTAATCAGTAGTAATTACTCTCCACCCTTTTCTGATGTGTTGAATTGGAGTCAGTTTTCGTTGGAGATTCCAGTGGAGAAAATACCAGAAATCAAAACTATTCTGCAAAGAGTTTCAAGGAATAGGTATTTGAAATTGCATATGAACGTGATGAGAGTTCGAAGGCATTTTATGATTTATCGACCGGCAAAGCCATTCGATATGATGCATATGATACTTCATTCGATTTGGCTCAGAAGATTGAATCTTAGATTAATTGCTTCGGCAAGCTCCTAGTTTTGTCTGTCATAGTATACACCACCGAATGTACTTACAAATGTATATTCATGTTTTATTTCATTTAATAACTACAATGTTTATTTCAATATTTTTTAATTTATTTATCTTTTAAAATTTCATCATCTATTTTTTTATACTTCGTTCAAGGGAGAAGGGATAGATAAATCATGTTACATAAAAGAATAATTTGATCAGAGTAAGATTACATATTTTATTATCTTTGTAAATTTGAACAATGATTATTTTAGGAAAAGATTAATACTGTACTTGGCTCAATATATATTTCATATTTTCATTGCTATTCTAAAATAACATCATGTTTTGAAATTGATTTAACCAATGAAAAATAGAAAATCTTTTGTATTCCAAATTTTGGGACAAGTGCCTTTAATGGGACTAACTTATGAAATTTCATTCTATTCAAATGAATAAATAAATATCCAGAATATATATTTGTTTTAAAATATTTGGTTGAAAAATTTTTCGACTCTCTTTCATGATGTGATCGTCCAATCCTTTTTTAGAACACACTTCACATTGGCTGTTGATCTCTAGGAGACACTCTTACACTCAAGTCACATATGTTTCTCAAGAGATCTCTACTTGATTAGAATGAAAAAAAAAATTGTATTTACCAATATATTAATTGTATATTTATAGGGCTTATAACAATAGGGCTCATTAATTAACCATTAATACCCTATATTCATATTTGATATGATCAAATCATTAATATCATATATTCATATTTGATGTGACAATCATATCTATTAATTAACCATTAATATTTGTTAATATACTTGTCAACTACCTATAAATGATCGTTGCACTCTTAATTAGTCTTTAATCACTTAAAGCAGCCGCCTCAACTGATCGGTTAACTCTATCAGTAAGTTGATTCTCATTGTAACGCAATCAATATATTTCATATAATACAATATTTAATTGAACAAATTAAATTTTTCTTTATTCATTAACCTTATGATTTTTTTTAATGAAGAAATTATGAAAAAAAATTATACTTTAAATAAGATAATACATTAGATATGATGATTGAATTTACTCATGATTGTCTCTCTTAATTTTGATGGAACAGAGTAGTGTTTTGAAACGGATCTTTATAATTTTTTTTATTAATAATACAAAATTTGGTTTTCAAACACGATTTCTACTTTAAGATTATTATGTATCTATTTTTATTCATATGTAGGTTCAAATTATCTACTTAAAGAAAAAGTTTTATATTCACATTATCCTTTTTATTTCATTGTTTTCTATTTATTTACTTCTATAATTTCTTTATTTCTATTTTGTTACAACTTAAAAAATAGTATATATTATTTTTTAATTATATGATTGTTTGTATTTATATTTTTTATTAAAAATTTAAAAGTGATTTTGCTTTTTCCTCTTCTTCACTATATTTATATAAATTTGAACTCCTACCGACATAAAACTATAAATATGTGTTGCTAGTAAATTTTATAATGTTTGTTTCTCTATTTTCACTATAAGATCTATTTGTTGTTAATAATATAATGGTGCATTTAGAGATAGAATTTTTATAAAGATTTTTTATTTTGTATATACTTTTAATAATTTTTAGAAAAACATCAACGGCTACTTTTTGTGTAAGTATTAAATTTTTTAGACTTATTATACTTATTTTTTTTTTAAGAAGATAAGAAAATTAAGTACTAAGTAAACTAAGAAACATCATAATAAATAGACATGCACAAATTTCATTATCTCATAACCATTTTCAAAGAAGAAAAAAAAGTCATTTTTATCTCCATTTTTATATTCAACCAATATAACATTTTTATTTCATCGTCATATTTTATGGAGATGAGTTTGAGTGGAGTAAGTGAAATCAATTCCTATAATGTCACACCATACCATTTTTAACCCTTTTTTTCATTCTTAAGTGTCTCCAACTCTCAAAGTCCAACATTTATTCTTTATCAATTTATTTATTGCACATAATCTTTTATTTGTGAATTATTCATTAATCTATATGAGTTATTAATTGTATGATTATTTAGTAGTACACAAGTATCTTATAAAACAATATTAAGTTTTACCATTTTATATTACTTCAACAATAACAATTTGGCACATTTGCTAATAAGTTAACAATTACACTATAAACACAAATGAGCCCAATTGAAAATCGTCTAACCTCTGACAACATCCACAATCACTAAAAAAAGTATTAAAGACGGTCAAAATCCATAAAAAATGTTAACAACTTGATGGTAACGACTTTTTATCGACATATTTTCAATATGTCAAAATTCGTCAGTAAAAATGCAATCGATAATATTTATTGATAGAAATTTATATTCGTCAATAATTATCAAAGAGAAATTTCATCAATAAAATTTGTCAATAATTATCGTTAAAAAAATTCGTCAGTAATTACCAATAGAAAAATTTGTTAATAGTTAACTTAGAAAAATTTGTTAATAAATTTTGTCCATGAATATCGCAATCTTGTTCACTTTCTCTCTCCTCTCTTTGACTTATTCTTTCTTTAGTTTTTTCATTTTTTTTGTGTTCTCCATCACATTCACAATTTATTTTCTTCTTACGATCACAACCCAACAACCATCATAATTCAAATTGTTTCAAAATAGAAATAATTTATGAAAAGTGATGGAGTAATAGAGTTTAATTATTATAAAAAAAATATTCTCGTATCTTTCAACACCAACAACGTTGAAATGTCCTTGGTCACAAATGATGGCGGAGCTGGTGGTGCCAAGCAAGACTTAGCTAATGATGGAAGGAGGACAAAACCCTTGAGGAAAATGGCACCAATGAAGGCTTTGACAATCCTCTGTGGTTGCAACAACATCAACGTTTATGGTGGTGGTGAGTGTCAATGTTAGTATTAATCCACTCTAATGGATAAGCAAGATGCGACGGCCTTGCAAAAAATGACATCGTAATTTATTCAGGAGACAATCTCACGTGAGTAAAATTTTCACTAAAAAAATAAGTTACGTGATTATCAACGAATAATTTTATTGTAGTATATATCTCATTTTTTGATGAATTTTATCGATAAAAATTCTACCAATAAGTAAAATATATTTTACTTTTGAATTTTTTTATCAATAATAAATTAGTGAATAAAATTCATCCGTAATTAAAATTTTAAAATCCATTAATAAAATTAATTGATAATTTAAATTTGGTAACAAATTTATTTTCATCAAAAATTTCAAAATATTTGTAGTCAATGAAAATTGTACACCCTTCACGACTTTCAATTTAAATAAAATTTTGTGCCGTCATCCCACAACTTCTAAATGGAAATTGTTATGTTCTTTGAATTAGAACAGTTACTATAACTTAGCAAAAGTTATTTGGGAAGGACTAACTTTTTCATATTATGTGGTCAGTCCTTGGACAATTTCCCAATTTTTTTTAAGAGTGTTATTCCCTCCACCACCCCATCTTTTTTCTCTACCTTTCCATTTTTTTTTAAATTCCAATCTTACTCTTTTTACTTTTACATTTATCTATTTTATTTTTTATTTTTTAAAGCTCTAATCCCTTTTCACTTTTTCTCCCAGAAGCAAGCTCTCATCCCTCACCCCCACTTTCACTTTCTCTCTTTTTTTTCTTCAATTTCCACGTCGGTTAACACCTAATTTAATTAATTCCTACCATTTTCTTTGCCAACACTGTTACGAGTTCCCTTCACCTTCTCTACGTCACCACCATTTATCACACCCTGTGACTTTGAATATTAGAACTATTTTATTAAACCTACACCACATTGAAAAATCCTCACATCCACATATGTTGATGAGCTACCACATGAAATTTATTGTTCAAACTGTCAATTTCTTTCCATTACTTTTTAAAAAATATGACAAAAGTGATCAAACTATATACAATATAGTGTAACTAAGCTTTCGAGAATAAAGAATGAAGAAAAGGTGAAAACGGAGAATGGTATTAACAGATGTGGAAATTGAAAATAAAGAGAGAAATTGAAAATAGGGGTGGGGGCTTGCCTCTAAGAGAAAGAGTGAAAGTGAAAGGGGATTAAGGTTTTAAAAAGTAAAAAGTAAAATAAATAAAGGTAAAAGTAAAAAGGATAAAATTAAAATTTAGAAAAAGTTGGGGAGGTGAAAGAAGAAGACTGGTGGTGGTGGAGGGAGTAACACTCTTTTTTTAAAACTTGCTTATTTCCGTAATTTGGGCTTTAAATATTGCTACAATAAGAAAACCATTTGGCAGTTGCTCCCTCCACCACCACCGAATGCTCCCTGCACCACCTCATACCAATTTTGTCCTTCTTTAAAACGGATGTCAACATCCGTTTCACCTTCAACGGATGTGGCAACATCCGGATTGCCACATCCGTTTTAATATAATTCTTAAAACTATTTTGATTAATATTTAAATAATAATATATAAATTAAATTAATAATAATTATTTTATTAAATAAAATAAATTTATAATTAATTAAATAATAATTTTAAAAAAATTAAATAATATTTATATATTAATTTAAAATATAATAAAATAAAAAAATAAAAACTTTAAAAAGAAAAAAACTTCACGGATGTGAACATCCGTATCCATTTTAATAAATTTTTAAAAATTATTTTAATTATTATTTAAAATAATAATACATAAATTAAATTATAATAATTATTTTATTAAATAAAATAAAATTAACTTTTAAATAATTAAGTAATAATTTTTAAAAAAAATAAATAATATTTATATATTAATTTAAAAACTTAAAAAAAAAACTAAACGGACATCCGTTAAAGAATTTTTTCTTCTAATGGATGTCGACATCCGTTCAAGAGAAAAGGAGGAGGTGTAGGATATTTTAAAATATAAAGGATAATTTTGAAATTTAAAAAAAGTGTGGTGGTGCAGGGAGCGGTGTGTGGTGGTGTAGGGAGTAACCCTGAAACCATTTTACGTATTTTTTTCTACTAAAGGATAAGAGAAAATTTTGTAGAATCAAAACCGTGGGCCCAATTTACCATTAACAAAGTTTTCGTACATTCTAAACTGTTATTTCCTTGTTTCCTGAGTTTATATATATTCAG